TTAGTAAGAAACGCTCACTTCCAACATTTTCAAGATCCAGTGCCATTTTGGGAAATATAAAGATAAAGTGACAGGCCTTCTCTAAGCTGACTTTTCTGAAAAAGTTAAATTATATCCATTAGTATCATATAAATGACCTTTTAGATCATTTCCTATAGCTACAATGGAAGAAATCAAATTCATAAGAGGATACAATCATAGATTGTCCAATCGGATTGTGTGGGATCATGTCTTCTGGGCAATAGAAGAATGTTTACAATACATTCTATACAAATCGCCACACCACTCTTCACCTTCAAGGTCATGGTACGTTTTAAGGAAAGGTAGACTGGAGCAGCTCTCACCAGAGGAGAGCTAGCACCATCTGCTGGGGAGGGAGTTCACAGCATAAGATGATATATTCACTATCAGGTGACTTCATTAATCCTGAATTTGTTTCTTCAAAGTATTTTTCATCATACAAATGTCAAGACACTCATGCATACCCAAGTACAATTTAATTTTCAATCAAGTTCTCCACTATGACAGTCAAAAACAACCTAGTTAATTCGTTTGATTAAAATATACTCGTCTTTTATGATTTGATTCCTTAATTACAGACCTGATAATTAGCCTATTTTGATCCATTTAAGATATGGAAGAAAGTTATATTATACGGCCACATACACCATAGGATTGCTTTAGAATAAAAAATACGTGTTGCTTGGTCTTATAAACCAGCCTTGGCATCTGTTGATAATCTGTGGTAATTAGAAATAGGGGTAGCCTTGAATTGTAAACTTTACTAATAACCCAGAAATAGTAATTTTCTACTTTCAAACTCTTTTCCCCAAAATCTACTGATGAAAATCAGAAGGCTGTGTTTCTCCCATTTACCATTTGGAATAGATGCTCGAGAGTAACAAAGAACAGAAGAGCCAGCCAGCTTAGAGTGGGCAGGAAGGTGGAGAATGATGGGGCACGTCCTGAGTGCTTAGATTCTAAATGACAACTTAGCTATCAGCAGTTTCCCCAGAGACAGGGCTTAGGACCAAAAGTTCAAACATCAGAAATAAATTCATATGTGCCTCTATTTTAAATATAACTTATACACTACTGATTTTACAGACTTGCCCACTAAGACAAGTTTTAACAAGTTGAAAAAAGATTCTGAATTTTTTTTGTTATATTCTGTATGGAACTGCGATTCCAATGAAAAGTTTAAATTCTGTTTACTTTTGAAAAGTGAAATAAAGTAATGATAGTACCTAAATGTGAAATAACCTTATCCATTTTCCTAAAATATTTTCCAATCGAAGTCTATCTCTTACAGGGAAAAATCAAGAAGCATTAGATTGTAACATTTATTCATTTTATTAATTTTTTTAATTGAGGTATAATTGACATATAACATTGTGTAAGTTTCAGTGTACAACATGTTGATTTGATACATTTATATAGCACAACAGGATTACCATGGTAGTAATCACTAACACCTCTATTATATCACATAATTATCATTTCTTTTTTGTGGTGAAAACAGACTGTAATTTTTAAAATGTATTAGATGGAAAGGAAGTAGGACTTGCTGCAAAGAACAATACATGCAAAAAGGGCTGTAGAAAAGGGGCTGTAGTCATTAAACACTTGTCAGGGGGGCTGGCCCCGTGGCCGAGTGGTTAAGTTCGCGCGCTCCATTGCACCCGGCCCAGTGTTTCGTTGGTTCGAATCCTGGGCGCGGAAATGGCACTGCTCATCAAACCACGCTGAGGCAGCGTCCCACATGCCACAACTAGAAGGACCCACAACGAAAGAATATACCACTATGTACTGGGGGGCTTTGGGGAGAAAAAGGAAAAAAATAAAATCTTTAAAAAAAAACAAAAACACTTGTCAGATTTTGCCAATGGTATACTCCTTGGGAATCCTCTGGCAATTTAGAGAGAACATTAACTCTCCAAGCCTGTTGGGTACCATTTGGTTCCTTAAAGCTACGATTCATTAAAGTGATGCTCTTACTAAATGGCACCCAGCTAAGTTCTAGGACTTAGGGCAAATATGGATATGTTTGTGAGACCGGCGACAGGCAGGGTATTTGGTCTTGACTTAAGCCTTTTCCCTACTTCTTTAAGAGTACCCCAAAATGCCAAGGGGAAGGTAAGGTACAGCTTCATTAGTTACTCATCTCAAGTGGTTTAAGGACCTGGTCAAGACACTGGCTAAACCTAGCATTGTTTAACGTTCTTCAGTTGTCCATGCCTGACGATGTTCCTCCCCGGGCCTTCCAGCTAGAAAGCGTTTTACCTACACTTCTATATGCTTACTTGCCTCAAGTCATATTTGGAAATAAAAAGCACACTTTTTTTTTTTTTGAGGAAGATTAGCCCTGAGCTAACTGCTGCCAATCCTCCTCTTTTTGCTGAGGAAGACTGGCCCTGAGCTAACATCCATGCCCATCTTCCTCTACTTTATATGTGGGATGCCTACCACAGCATGGTGTGCCAAGCAGTGCCATGTCCACACCCGGGATCCGAACCGGCGAACCAGGGGCCGCAGAGAAGCGGAATGTGTGAACTTAACTGCTGCACCTCCGAGCCGGCCCAAAAGTATACATTTTTGTGCAACATAAATAATTATGGCTCCACAACTTATTTATTATTTTAAATAAAAATTTTATACATTAAGGTGTATAACGATGATTTGATATACACACACATAGCGAAATGATTACTACAGTCAAGCTAATTAACATATCCATCTCCTCCCATAATTACCCTTTCCACAACTTATTTCAAATCAATTCCAGCTACCTTTAAATGGAACCTCCTTTCACAGTTTAAGACCCTCTCCTCAGATACATCCATCAACAGAAACAGAAAAAAACCCACTCCTCATCCACACGGTCTTTGCACATACTCCTGCAAAAGATTTTTTTCAAACTGTGAAGAACTTTGCAGGGTTTTTCCAATTATAAAGAGCATTTTAAAAATAATCAGACAGTACTAAAGAAGAAGTAAAAAAGAAGAGTGTAATGCCTCCACCCTAGAAAAAATTCTATTTCTACATGAACATACAAAACATATATATTTAGCTAAAAAGGCTCATAGTTTACATGAAGTCTAGTGAATTTTTACCTCACTTACTATGTCAGGGAATAGGTTTATTAATAACTCTCATTTCCTACCAAGTCAAGTGTCTTTTCTCGGTAAGATCAGTGTAGTGGGTTGAATGGTGGCCCCAGAAAAGATATGTCCAAGTCCTAAGCCCCCACATATGACCTTGGTTGGAAAAAGGGTCTTTGCAGACACACTTAAGGATCTTGAGATGAGATCACCCTGGATTACCTGGGTGGGCCCTAAGTCCAGTGACAAATGTCCCTATAAGATACAGAGAGGATAAGGCAGAGATTGGAGGTATGCAGCCACAAGCCAAGGAATGCCTGGAGACTGGATGCAGCAAGGAAGGACTCCCCACCCTGTGCCTTGACAGGGAGCCTGGCCCTGTCAACACCTTGATTTCAGACTTCTGTCCTCCAGGACTGTGAGAGAATAAATTTCTGTCACTTTGACCCACTGAATCTGTGGTAATTCGTTATGACAGTCCCAGCAAACCAATACAGTCAGCATTCCAAACTTATCTACTACAAACTCAGCTGCTCTCCAGCCTCACTTTCCTGTTCTTCTCCAGCTTTACACTCCTATTTGCCTCCTTTCATTTCCTATATTGCCTCAAAGCCTTTGCACATGCTGTTCCAGTGCATGGATTGCTCTTCTTCATTCTTCAATCTCTCTCCAAGACTTCTTCAGAGAAAAGCTCTGCTTCCCCACCCCGGTGAGGTCCCCTCTCAGCAGGCCATAGCTCTTTTCATAGGCCTTATCATAGTTTGTATCTTTATTGGTGTGATTATTAGATTCCACCTCCCTACCAAATAGTAAGCTCCATGAGAATATGAATCCTGCCTGCTCCCCATTATATTCCTAGTCTAGCCCTGCACCTGCTGTGCCATAGCAATTCTTTTTGAATGAACGGCCACTGTTCCAGAAGCATCTGCAGACCTTGGGAAACTCTCACAGCCTTTGAGATGGCTGTGGGCTAGGTAGGGTGATCATATTATTTGTCCTCCAAAATTACCCACTTCTGAGAGTGAAAAGGGTTGCTATTAATAATTACAAGTTACCTGGTTACAGTCCTGGGTAACAGGCTGTGCCGACCACAGGAGCAAACGTGAAGGCAGGAGGATTACTAGAAAGGGCTGGGCTACCACATTTTGGAGCGAGGGGGAGAGGATAATTTAAATTTGCTTAATTGCCACTGCATTTTCATTGCTTCTACATCATGTATCTTTGTGTTCTTTCATTTGTCGGTCCCTCTCTCTAACATGTAAGCTGTACGAGGGCTGGGACTTCCACACCTACAACAGTTCCTGCTGCATAGCAGGCCCTCAACAAACATGTGAATGAATGTGCTCACAGAGGAATAGTATGCCTAAGCGAATAATGAATGAAGAATCAAAATGCTAAAAAAAAAAAATAATAAAAACCCGAAGAGCCTAATAAAGCTCAACACTAAAGGAACAGTAGGCGGAACAACTGCCAAGGTCTTGGGCTGAGGACGCAGGGATGAAGGCCCAGTGGCCGTGGGGCTGCTGCGTGGTGGAACGCCGGCTTCACCTCCGCCCACCCCGCTCTCAACACCCGCTCTCCGGTCCTCTCCAACTCCGGCGCACTGCCTCAGCCCCGGGCCCAGTCTGGCCTCAGCCGCCGCCTCCCTGGACCCCTCGAAGCCGGGACCCACACCGCCCTCTTCCCAGATCCTCCAGACCTGAGCCTCCCGCGCCGCCCCCTTCTCAGATCCCGGGGTATCTGGGCCTCCTGCGCCGCCCCCTCCCCGGATCCCTGCGCATCCCGGCCCCGCCCCCTCCCCGGATCCTGGCGGACCCCCGCCCTAGGGCCCCGCGGCCCCGCCCCCTCCCCGTCCCCTCGGCCGCGGCCCCGCCCCCGCCGCCGCCCCGTTGGGTCCGCGCGGACAGGCTCCCGCCTCTCAGCGCCCCCTCCCCCGCGCCCGCCTCTGCGGCTGCGCGCTGGCGGGGCCGAGGCCGAGGGGAGGGGGTCGCGCCGGGGGCCCGCGGAGCTGCGGCGGCGGCGGCGGCGGCGGCGAGAGGCAGAGCGAGCCCGGCGGCCGCGGGCAGACCCGGAGGGAACGGAGGAAGCGGTCATGTCTCGCTACACGAGGCCCCCCAACACCTCCCTGTTCGTCAGGAACGTCGCGGACGCCACCAGGTGAGCGGCGGGGACGGCCCGGGCTGGGGCGCGGGGGAGGGGCGGGGTAACGGCCGCGGAGCGGAGCGGGCGGCGGCCTGCGGTCGGCCCGGCCCCTCCCCGCCGCCCGGCCGGGCCCGGCCCGCGCTTCCCGCCGAGGCGCCCTGCCGGGGGCGGCGCCAGCCCGCGGGCTCCTCGGGGCCTGGGCGGGACTCGCGCCTCCGCCCTCCCGGCCGGCGTTCCGCCCCGGCGCCGACGCGCGTCCGGGCCCGGCGCCGCTCCCGGCGGGCCGGTGCCGGTCCCCCCGCCGGAGCGCAGGCTGCCCCTCTCCCGGTAGCCGGGGTCCCTCCCCGCCTGTGGCCCGGAGTGTCCCCGCGCGGCCGGGGGCTCGCTCTCAGCCCTTTGTCGCCGTGCCCCGAGAAAGCCGCGCGGCCGACCCCCGGATGGAGAGGCTTGGGGGCTGGTGCGCGAGCATCACAAAATGATGCGTGCCTGGGGCCTTCCAGTTTCCTCCCCTTCTGCCCGCTCCACGCGCAGACGGGCTGATTGCATTTTATTCCTTACACGATTTTATTCTGTATACAAAGGGTAACTTCAGTGAAAGAGATTTCTCTGGTTTTCTTTAAAGTTCTGAGTACGATATAAACACCCATTATAACGGTCTGGATGGACTTTCCCTGGTCGATTCTGATGCTCGCAGTCCCTCCCCCGCTCTTTTGAGAGTTGTGTCTGCACACTGTCAAACCCTGCATCTTAAAGAATGATTTCTTCATATAGCACTTTCTCCCTTAATAAAAGCCAGAAGGAATGGGGAGGGGGGCAATATTAATAGACATTTTCATTGTTCTGGACGTACTTAATTTACCCAGCCCCCCAACCTTTATAGGTATGCAGTGTTCTCATATTGTACATAACGGAATGCTGAAGCTCAGTTTTAATGACCTGTTGTCTGGGACTTCAAAGCTACAAATATATTGCACTATGCCCTAGACTCCAGAGCCATCTGGAGTAATCCTCATAATTTACTTTTGAAGAGTAAATGTTAAGTATTTTTTAAATTTGATTCCTACAATCATATGTCACAACTATAGACTGTAAGTTAATATACCTTAGTTAAAGTCTAAAAGATGCCTGTGTTTACAGTTCTTCTCGCAACCTGTTTATCAATACATTACATATGAAACAAGCAAAGTTTCTAATTCCGATAGAGTTAAAAAAAAATTCCCGCAGTTAACTAGACCGCTTGAATACTGAATAAGCATCAAGCTTCTCCCGTGTGTCTACCAAAAAATGAGAAGTTTCCAATTCTATTGGCCGGGGCCAGCCGTGGTAACATGAGTGAGTGAAATTGTCAGGTTTCAAGGCAGAGTAGGATGGTAGGGACTGTAGGAAATAGAAGCGAATGTGTGCCATCAAAAAGGGACAGCAGCTGCTACTAAGCTCCAGCTGATAACTACTGTGTAGACATTTGGACTTGTTGCCACGTCTTCCTAACTTTCAAAAGAAGTCAGAAACCTGCATTTTTTGTGTGTTAACTCTCTCAGTTTCAAAATGTTGGCATTTATTAAATTGAATCATGAAATTCCTATTTTTGTATATTTAAAGGCTGTAAAATATTGGCAGTTTCAACACTTTTTTTTTTAAGTTTAAACATTGTGCAGGCCAAATAAAACGTGTGGGTGACTCATGACCTCTGATCTAGATAATCCACCACTGAGTAGTCAAGACTGATAATTGAGATTTATTGATTTCCTTTTCCATTTTTTCTGCCACTTCCACTGGGGACAATCAGAATCTAGGAGGTGTGTATTAATTAAGTAATAATAATCATAAACATCTTTTGAGTACTCACTATGTTCCAGGCACTGTCCGAAAAACTTTATTTACATGTATTATCATTAAGTTTTCACAATAACTCTGTAATGTATGTTCTTTATTAATTATATTTTACAGATAAGAAACGGAGGCTTAGAGAGATTAACTATGTTGCCTTAGATTGCACAGCTGCTGAGTAGTGTTATGAAGTGGAATCATCACATGTAACCTGTAGTAATAGCTTGTTTGTCCAAGGTGGCGTACAGTGTGAGTTAACTAGCGATGTGACACCTAGACACATTTTCAATTAGCTTTCACCTTTGCTATTCTTAGAAAGAAAATCATTGGGATAAATGTTAAAATGAAAGAAACAGGGCATAATATTATATATAGAGAGAGTATGATTTCAATTATATAAAAAATGAAGAAAGGAAAAACTACATATAGAAAATGAGCCTGGAAAGAAATCCTTTTGCATGTTTTTTTTCCTGTTTTCAAATTTTATTTGATAAGAATGTTGGTTTTATAACAAAGCCCAATTTTATTTAAAATGTTTCTTTGAAGTGGCCATTTTAATATATACTATTAAAGCACAAGCCATTATGGGTTAGCATAAAATTTGATAGGAACGAAATTGAACACAAGAAGTAAAGAAAGATTTAAAAATACATTTTAAAATTTTGTATTTTGTGTTGTTTCTTTTCACAACAGGATGTGGATCAGGAAGAATATTAATTTTAGTATCTTTGCTTTTTTACTGTGTAGAAGAGTAATTTTTAAAAAATGTCAGATAGAGTTTCCTAATGGAACAAAGTAATGTCCAAATCCCAAACATAACATTCCCATTTTGATGCATAACATGATGTTAGATTGGGAAGCAATGATCCAGTACCTCTCTTGGACATACTTAGTAGCATCCTTTGGTTACAGTGCATATGAGCCTATTTGTTTTGATGGTGATGTGGAAAAAGCACTAAACATAATTCAGCAACGTTCTTGATAAAAAGTCTTAGCAAACTAGGAATAGAAGGGAACTTCCTCAGCCTAATAAAGGGCATCTATGAAAAACCTATAGCTAATGACATGCCTAATAGTGAAAACTGAATACTTTCTCCCTAAGTTCAGAGCAAGGCAAGGATGCCCACTCGCAACAACCTCCATCCAACATTTTATTGCAGGTCCTAAGCAGTGCAACAAGGCAAGGAAAATAAATAAAAGACAAAAATTGGAAAGGTAGAAGTAAAACTTGTCCCTTTTCATAGGTGACATGTTTGTTTACATAGAAAACAGTAAAGAATTAACAGCAAAACTACAGTAACTAATAATGAGTTTTAGTAAGTTGTCAGGATACAAAGTAAACTTACAAAAATTCTATTTCTGTATATTAACAGCAAATAATTGAAAATAAATTAAAAAACAATTCCATTTACCTTAGCATCAGAAAATATAATTAGGAATAAGTTTAACCAAAAACCAAAACCAGAACCCTTTGCATTGAAAACTACAACATATTGCCAAGAAAAATTAAAGACCGACATAGATTGATAGATATACCATGTTCTTGGATTGGAAGGCAAGATATTATTGTTATCACTTGTCTCCCAAATTGATTATATTCTAGATTGAAGGCATTCCTGGTCAAAAGCTTTTTAAAAAATAGAAATTGACAAGTTAGTTTTAAAATAGGTTGCTATGCCAAGGATCTGGAATAGCCAAATCATCTTGAAAAGGTTCACTAAGCTAGAAGACTGATGCTACCTGACTTCAAGACTTCCTAAAAAGATACAGGAATCAAGACAGTGTGGTACTGGCCTCAGGATAGCAAATAGATCAATAGGACAGAATAGAGTCCATAAATAATCCACACTTACACAGTCAGTTGATTTTTGACAAAGGCACCAAAGCAATCCAGTGGAGAAAGGGAACTCTTTTCAACAAATAGTACTATAACTACTGGATATCCATACAGTAGAGATTAAAAAAAATGAACTGCAACCTCTACCTCATATCATAGTTTTTGAGCTGGATCATCAATTGAAATGTAAAAGATAAAACTATAATGCTTTTAGAAGAAAACAGAGGAAAATATCTTCATGACCTGGGAATAGGCAAAGATTTCTTACAGGACAAAGAAAGCAGTTACCATAAAAGAAAATATTGATAATTAGATTCACCAAAATTAAAATTTTTGTTCATTAAAAAAATACCATTGGGGCTGGCCCTGTGACTGTTTAAGTTTGCACACTTTGCTTCGGCAGCCCAGGGTTTTGCTGATTCAGATCCTAGATGCAGACCTGGCACCACTCATCAAGCCATGCTGAGGGATCGTCCCACATAGCAAAGCCAGAAGGACCTACAACTGGAATATACAACTATGTACTGGGGGGCTTTGGGGAGAAGAAGGGGAAAAAAAAAAAGAAGATTGGCAACAGATGTTAGCTAATCTTAAAAAAAAAAACAGAAAAAAAGATACCGTTAAGAAAGTAAATAGGCTGCCACAGACCCGGAGAAAATATTCACAAAATATATATCTGACGAAGGACTTTTTTTTCCCTAATATATAAAGAACTTTCACAGTTCTAATAAAAATACGAAGATTATTATTAAAAATGAGCAAAAACTCACACTTCACAAAGAAAATGTATGAATGACCAATTAGCACATGAAAAAGTGCTCAGCATCATTTGTCATTAGGGAAATGCAAATTCAAACCATGGTGAGATTCTACTTAACACGCACTCCAATGGATGAAATTTAAAAGACTGAGTACCAAATGCTGACAAAGATTGGCACAAGGGAAACTGTTATATGTTGTTGGTAGGAGTATAAAATGGTACAGTCGCTTTGCAGAACTGTTTGGCAGTTTCATAAAAGTTAAATATATAAATCCTCTTTAACCCAGAAATTCTACACCTAGGTTTTAAGACAAATAACCCATAAGCATGAGAAGGTATTGCATCTCACTGGTCATTAGGTAAATTAAAATTAAAACGACAATGAGATGCACATTCACTTTATTGTTTGTTTCTGTTATTTCTTTCAGAATAGCAAGGATTAAAAGCTGTTAGTGAGGAGGAATTCTCATGCCTGTTTTGAGGAGTATAAGTTGATTGGGCCACTTTGGAGAACAGGTAGTGAGGCTGAAGATATGCATACTCACCAGCCCACCGGTTGCATTGCTAGTGGTACATGCCAGAGAACGCCGACACAGCTCTAGTGAGCATGTGTAGCATGATGTAGACTGCCACACAGTTTGCAATTTAAAAAAAATGAAGCATCTTAAATGTTCATCCACAGAAGGAGGGATGAATAAATTGTGGTTTATTCATAACAATATCGATACAGAGTTAAAATAGGTGAACTAGAGCTACGTGGGGAAGTCTCAAGGGAGGAAAAGGCAAGGTGCAAAATTATACAAACAGTCTGATACCATTTATATAAAATTTGGTGTATGTATAAAAACATTTACGATATATGCATTTACAGTAAAAATGCAAATTTATGCAGAGGACTGATGAACACCAATGATTGTTTCCAAGGTAGAAGGCTATGTGTCATTTCTGAAAAAAATTACTAAAAATTATGGCAAATATTGAGATATAATAAATCTTGGTGGGTACATGAGTATTGGTTTTAGTATCCTCTATACTTTTCTGAGTGTCAAAATAGATCACACCAAAAATACAAAAATAACTGAAAACAAAACAACAGGTAACAGGTGAAGGAGTGGAGACAACGAATGGGAGCTAGCTCTTTTTGAGAAAGTTTGTTCCTTCAGACTCCTGTCACCCTTGTCTTCTGGGACTCCAAGCCTCGTGACACACATTGCTCTAGTGTCTAGGATTCTTTTCCTGTTGGTCACTCACATTTGTTTAATGAGATTGGTTGCCTCAGAAGACATTCATTTAGATTCTTGGTTTGCTACTGGCTTTGTACCTCGGGCCAAGGTAACTTCTCTCACTCTTAGTTTCCTTGACTACTAAATAGTAACAGTAATGTGTTCTTCACTGGTTAATACAGCAAATATATATTGAGTACTTACTGTGTGCCAAGCAACTGTGCTAGATACTGAGATACACTGGTGACAACACCTGACTTAAAAGTCATTCTCAACCCTGAGTCTCACAATTGCCTATCAAACCTTTAACAGAACATAACGGGGTCACCAGTCCAGGGTTAACGCATCAGGCTGGAGTGCCTGTTTTTGTAACATTGCCTCACAGATGGTTCCAATATTCAGGAATGGTTGAGAACCTTTACCCTGTAGTCTATGGTTTATGGGAGCAGGAATTGTTTTTTTTCTTGTTCTCCACCATATCTTTAGAGCCTGGCACAGTGTAGGTGCACAGTAAGTATTTGTTGAATGAATAAATGAAAGAAAAAGACGTTGTCACTGCCCTCTAAAGCTAATAGTCTCTCAGGAAAGGCAGACAACAAAACGAAATAATGAATATTAAATGAAATAAAATAATAAAAATATAATGTATGTCATAATATCGATTGCACTTCTTGGCATATAGTGGATACTTAATCAGTGTTAGTTGAATCTTTATATAATAACTACTAAATCCATATCTCTAGCTTTAATCACTGACTTCTAGTCTTGAAAGTTAAATTAATGTAATTGTATAGTCACAGTTTTCAGTTGCTGACAGAACTCTTATGGACGTTCCACCATCATCTCAAATTTGGCATTTCTAAACCTGAAAGCTGCTGCTTTTGCCTCTCTCCTCCCTCTTCAATCTAGATCTCTTCTCCAGCTATCTCACTTTTGTCACTGACACCATCTTTCTTCCATTTGCCCAAGCTACAAGCTTTGCAGTCCCCTTTGAGTCTTTTTTCTGCATGTTTCGAAGTACTCTTATTTCTTTGGAGCCATGTTTTGTGCTCATAGCTTCTCTATGAGCTCCATTCTCTAAGATCTCTATGAGGCAATAGGGTAGTGGTTGAGAACACAGACTAGTGTCAGACTGTGGGAGTTTGATTCCAGGTCTGTCACTTGCTGGCTTGGTGACTTTAGGTGAGTTTGTCCTTCTGTGCCCTTATCTGTAAACAATCATAGGGTGGTTGTGAGAATTAAGTGGTCTTTTTTTGGTGAGGAAGATTGACCCTGAGCTAACATCCGTTTCCAGTATTCCTCTTTTTTTCTTGTTATGTGGGCCACTGCCACAGCATGGCTGCTAACAGACAAGTGGTATAGATCCTTGCCCAGGAACTGAACCCAGGCCGCCAAAGCAGAGCGCACTGAACTTAAATCACTGGGCCATCAGGGCTGGTGCAGAATTAAGCGGTCTTAAGATGAACAGTGGCTGGCACATAAATGCACTGTGACTGTCAGCTGTTAATGCTATGTATTTTGTCTCTTCAGTTAAATTGTAGCTCCATGAAGACAAATATGCCGTGTATTTCTTCAGTAGCCCCTCTTTAGTACCTATCACAGTAGAAGGCATACAGGAGGCTCAGAAATCCTTGTCAAATTTGAGGGTCCTGCCTGGTGGCGCAGTGGTTAAGTTCATGTGCTCTGCTTAGGTGGCCTGAGGTTCGCCAGTTTGGATCTTGGGCACAGACCTACACACTGCTTATCAAGCCATGCTGTGGCAGGCATCCCACATATAGAGTAGAGGAAGGTGGGCACAGATGTTAGCTCAGGGCCAATCTTCCTCAGCACAAAGGGGAGGATTGGCAGCGGATGTTAGCTCAGGGCTGGTCTTCCTTGAAAAAAAATCCTTGTCAAATTTGAGAATATGGTAGTTATTTTGCTGTATGTTTAATAGTGTAAACATCCATTTTTCTTTAAAGCCTGAGAAATAATTTTAGAACTTCCTTAGAATCTAATTCTTGCTCTCTGAAAACAATTAACATAAATGTGAAATTACAGTGAGGCAAATGAGTGTGTTTTTAATGAAACAGTTAATAATTAGAACTCTTTATATTGAAAATTGGAAAGTCTTATAATAGGAATAAATTTCAAAGGTGTGTGTGCTGGGTCACTGTTTGCCCAACCTCACTAAGCATAACAGCCCCCTGGAGGGCTTGGAAAGATGCGGATCTCCAGCCCCTAATCCCGACCTCTTGAATGAGAATCTCCAAGGGTGAGGCCTGAGAATTTGTTGAGGTTAATTTTTCTTTTTTTCTTCCTTTCTAAACCTTGGGTGATTCTTATGAGAGACAACTTTAGATAATGCTAGTCTAGATAACGTACTTTCTTTTGAAGGTTTCAACTGGATTTCTGTAGGCAAAATATTTTAATCCAGCTGTTCGTATTTCTTTGCCTTATTTCTAAAACGCTTCAGGCCTGAGGACTTGCGCCGTGAGTTTGGTCGATATGGCCCTATAGTAGACGTTTACATCCCACTTGACTTCTACACCCGCCGCCCAAGAGGATTTGCTTATGTCCAATATCCTTTATCTTACCGTGTGCATGTGAATGTACTGCATACATGTGCATATACGTGTGTATGTATTCAGGAGCATATGTTATGAGATTAATATTGCCTAATTAAATGTGTTTATTTCTTTATCTCAGAAAATGTAAAGCAGTCCACAGTAGCTGGCAAGCGCCCCCCAGTTTGAACCAACCTGTTAGCTAGAATCCAAGCATAAACCGAGCAGGCGAGACAAGGCACCTAAAGTTCAAGCATCAAGGAGTAAAGAGGGAGGGTGGACACAGATATAAAGACCTGGAAGAGGGGAAGTCTTTATCAAGAAAGACAAAGCCAACAGCAGGTTGAGACTTCGGCTTTCCTACATTTACTCAGAGTTCCAGAGTCAAAGCCAAGTCTGGTTTTGTTGGTTCTGCGTCTCTTAGAAAGTCCATCTTGCAAGCCTTAAAGAGTAAAGGTCAAGGTTCAAGATCAAGTGACATTGAGGTAATTGCCAAAGTCTCATTTTGTACTGCATTTCTTGAGCTTTTTCTGTTTTCTATTTTTAAAAAGCCAGTGAATAACCACCTGAAATATAGCTATTTAGTCATTTTCTATAGCTTATTTACATTTTAGTTAGGTTTAATATATAATTTTATATAGATTAGGGAGTTTAGTGGGGTATTACAAACCAATATATGTAATTCCAGATGTTCGCAGATTACTTTTATGTTTCTTTTATCATTATATCCCAAGTAATAAAAACATGAAGGTATTTTAAAGCAGTAGTTTCAAAGGTAAATATGGTCATTTTTAAAGAACTAAATCAGTTTTTGAAAATACAATGTTTTAGCTCTTTTGTGTGTGTGCTATTTTGTTTATAATAAATAGTTTCTCCTAAATGTCATAATTAAAAAGGCTTTTAATGAAAGAGTAATTTTAATTTCAGAGTAAAGGCTTCTGCATGCTGACTTTTTCCAGTGAAAAGCCTCATGACTCTTTTACCTGAAAGAAGGGAGAGAGTCCTAACTGGTTTATTTTAGAATAATAGGCAATGTTGGACTTATTTTTTTCTCAAACGTGTTTTAAATTATACATGCATACTGGAACTCACCAGTGTGTGCATTGAAAGTACAGTTTCGTGTTTGTTTCTGTTCTTTTTATTTTTAGATTCCCTCTTCTAAATTATAGTGAGACATAGATTTTCATAATAAAAGTGAAATTTTTTCTGATTATTCATATTATGTTGAGATGTGAGCTTAATAACTTGAACTTGTTTTGCTTAATAATTTCATGTCACATGTAATAATTCTTTAAAAATAATATTTTTACTTGATATCTGATGTTCAAGTATCCTTAACAGCTAGTCATATTTGAAGATGTTCGTGATGCTGAAGATGCTCTTTACAACCTCAATAGAAAGTGGGTATGTGGCCGTCAAATTGAAATACAGTTTGCACAAGGTGATCGCAAAAGTAAGTGTGACTAAACATTAGATCTTGTATATTTAGCAGAATGAGTTTCAGCAATGACAGATTTTTGGTTTTTTATTTAAAATTCTTGCAGAAAACAATACTATTTGAGTGGCTGTTACTGAGGTTTTCAGGTAATGAATTATAAGTCTTGCACTTCATATTTTAGCACCAGGCCAAATGAAATCAAAAGAACGTCACCCGTGTTCTCCAAGTGATCATAGGAGATCAAGAAGCCCCAGCCAAAGGAGAACTCGAAGTAGAAGTTCTTCATGGGGAAGAAATAGGAGGCGGTCTGATAGCCTTAAAGAGTGAGTACAGAATACGAGAGGATTCAAAACTTAATTTTCTACTTTATCTGGAAAACATTTTAAAGAGTTTTTTGATCTGCTCTTCTCTATTTATCATGTATGGTTATTTAACTTGGGTTTATTGGATACCTTCAGTGTTTTTATTTCATGACAGACTTTAACCTTTTTAATAGAAATATAATATATACTGAAGAAAAAACAAAAATAAAAATGTATACTTGACTCATAAGAAATATCACTCATGAAAGAAGGTTGACTAAAATTAGTGTAAGTCAACGTATTTGTAAAAGAGAAGTAATTTTCAAGTATAAATTCCAAGTATGATAGTACTGTAGGAAGAAGAGAAGACGTAAAAATATTAAATCTTTCAGAGAAACATACTTGCAGGTTATCTGTTTTGCTAGCCAGGTGTTTGTTAGAATAATAGTAAATCACAATGGAAATTAATTACTTGGTGAAGCTATTTAAATAATAACTGAAACTTTAAATAATATAACTGAAGTTGTATTAGCATGCCTAAATTCTTAAACATTTGCACTATTTATCTTAGTTTTAATGCTGTAATTTCTTCATAGGCATGTAGAATTTTAAGGTGAATTTTGTTCTTAGCGAATGATCAGCATTTACATTAGCATCCTCTTTCTGTGAGTAATAAAAGAGTTAGCTCTCCCGGACCATTTGTAGTACACCTAAGCTTATATAGTCCCACGTAACTTCAAATCAAAGCTGATCACCGAGGCTGTTGACTTTCAGTCCAATTTCCTCCATTCCTCAACTTTAAGAGCCTAGACCAGAAAATGCCCAGCATAGGGTATATGTACCCAAGTTCCTAGTTCTAAAAACCAGCCTGTGAACTTCATTGGCCTGGCTCCAATGCCTTCAGCCAAATGGAAGGAAAAGATAGGAAGAGAGAACCACGTCTACATTCAGTGACTTTTTAATATCCAAGAATCCTGATTGCTAGAAAATGTGGCCTAGTCAGAGCCCTAGAATCTTACATGTCAGATCAATACCTCTCCTTGGGTGTGAACCAAATGCTTTGATTTTGGCCCATCCACAGGAGGCATGAAGGTGGGTATAAGCCCTAAGCTCCCTTTAATAAGCCATGAGAATCCAGGTCAGGATTGAGCCATTACCAAGATTGGTGAAGAAATACTTAGAAACAGTCATATTATATTCTAGAACTTGATCTTTTTTTATTATATTCTCTCTCTGATAGTGTAAGAATATAAACCTCCTTGCATCTGTGGAGAATAATCCAGTTTGTCCCATGGCTAAGGGAAAGCCATTTTCCCACTGATTGTTATTTAGACTCTGATATATAGTTCTATACTCAAATACAAATCATATTTATAGAACTTAAAACATGGTGAGAGCAAATTAGGACTTTTAACACCTTGTGTATAGGAAAGCTACACCAGTACTAATGGTACTGCTTCTCGCTTCACAGAGGACATGAATAGTGAATAGTGTGTAAGGGAGTGATGTTCAACAGTTCAGATTACTATGAATTTTATATATATATACATCTATACACACACTATCATATACATATATAGCCTATATGTATAACTATACATATATAGATTTGCATAAGTTTAGAATGATGTGGATGGTACATACAAAATGAATGGTTTAGGGGCTGGCCCGGTGGCACAGCGATTAGGTTCTCACGTTCCGCGTTGGTGGCCTGGGGTTCACCGGTTCGGATGCCAGGTGTGGACGTGGCACCGCTTGTCAAACCATGCTGTGGCAGGCATCCCACATATAAAGTAGAGGAAGATGGGCATGGATGTTAGCTCAGGGCCAGTCTTCCTCAGCAAAAAGAGGAGGGTTGGTGGCAGATGTTAGCTCAGGGCTAATCTTCCTTAAAATTAATTAAAAATAAAATAAAATAAAATGAATGGTTTATATATCAAAGATCAAAGTAGATATAATATTCTGCCTAAAGCAGCACTGTCCTAACTTAGTGAGTAATATCCACTGGCCTTGGTGAAAAAGACTTAGTTTGGAAAAGAAAGAAATTGCCCATTTGATTCATTAAAAATCTAAGTTTCCAAATGCATTAGAGCTTTAGTTAACCAGTTTTTCTCCTGATTGATCTAAAAAAGGTGGATATTCACGTCATTTTCTGCCTTCTAGTGGAAGTAAAGTATAATACTTGGCTGGAGAAAAACAAAAAGAATGTCTGTCCACTGTCCCAAATCATCATGGAGTTTCAGGAATAGAGAACCACATCTTCTTGCAAGACAATGCTGTTCTGCTTTGTACTAGTTTTAAGACCATTGCTTAACCTCCCTGACCTCAGTGTTTTCATTTGTAAAATTGTATGTAGAGAATGCAAATCTTACCTAGTTCTCAAGGTATTTGGTAAGGATCAGATTTTGTGTGTGTGTGTATGGATCAGAATATATATAAGCCTAACATATACTACTAGTATATACAGTATATATATTACCTTGGTGTTACCTTGGACCAAAAAGAGGTCTCTTATTTTGCCTTTAGTGGATGTGGAAAAAAACTAGTTTGTTGCTATCACTAGACTATGAACTCTTCAAAGGGCAAGGACTTTTTTCTTATTTGTGCTTATATCCCCCGCACTTAGCGGTAGTCCCTAGCTCATGTTAGGTATTCCATAAACCTTTGTTGAATGTATATGTCAATGAATGTGTGTATATTCCTAAATATTCCTGAAGAATGTTAAAATTGCCCCTTAGCCACCTTTTCTTTAGTCCAAATATAGCATCTTTTTTTTCTGTATTAGATTTTTTTCCCAAGGACAATTTTCCCATTTTGTTTTCTACAACTATCTACAACAAGAATGAAATTTAATAATTTCTAAAAGGCTGTGCTTTTATTCCAGAATCTATTCCAGATCAATGTATTTATACTTTCCATTGCTCTTTATTCCTTTCTGTAGTACCATGCTTGTATCTGGGATTATTTTCCTTCAGCCTGAAGAATTTTTAGTATTTCTTATAGTACAGGTCTGCTGGCAATGAATTCTCTCAGCTCTTGTTTATCTTCATTTTATATTCATTTTTGAAGGCTGTTTTTGCTGGGGATAGCATTCTAGGTTGGCAGGGACATTTTCTTTCTTTCTTTAACTATATCATTCCGTTGTTCTTCTGATATCCATAGTCAGGTGTCAGTCTTAGTGTTGCTCCTTTGGAGGTAATGTGTCCTATTCTTTAGCAGATTTTCAGATTTTTCTCTTTGACTTTGGTTTTCAGCACTTTGCCCATGATATGCCTAGTGTAGTTTTCTTTGTATTTATCCTACCTGAGGTTTACTGAGCTTCTTGAAATTGTGAGTTGATGTCTTTTGTTAGTTTTGGAAAATTCTGGGCCATTATCTCTTCAAATATTGCTTCTACCTCATTCACTTTTTCCTTTTGGCCATATGACTATGTGCCACATTTTTCTTATGTTCTATTCTGTATTTCTTAAAATTCCTTTTCTCTCATTGTGTTTCAGTAGAATGTTTTTCTAACAATGTTTTTTTCATTTGAGTTCACTATTGCTTACTTCTGCTGTATCTAGACTGTTGTTAAATCTGTCTAATGACTTTTTAATTTCAAATATCATATATGTTCAGTTCTAAAATGTCCATTTGTTTCTTTTCTTTTTTTTTCCCCCTCCCCAAAGCCCCAGTACATAGTTGTATATTCTAGTTGTGAGTCCTTCTGGTTCTTCTGTGAGCCACTGCCACAGCATGGCTACTGACAGATGAGTGGTGTGGTTCCGCACCTGGGAACCAAAGCTGGGCTGCTGAGGTGGACTGTGCCAAACTTTAACCACTAGGCCGTCAGGGCTGGCTCTCCATTTGTTTCTTTTTATAGATTCCAATATTCTGTTGAAATTCTCCATCTTTTTCATCTGTTTTGTCTATCTTTTCCTCTTATTTTCTTGAACATACTAGTCCTACTAAGTTTTTAAATTCTGTCTGGATAACACCAATAGCTAAATTACTTTGGATCTGTTTCTTAAGTCTTTTATTTTCCTTAGTTTTCAGTCACTTGCCTATTTTTCACATACCTCATAATTTTTGTAATGGATGTACGTGGACGTTGTCGATGAAAAATTACAAAGGCCTTGGATGATATTCTCCAAAGAAAGTTGTCTTCTTCTGGCAGGCAGAGTATTGGCAGGTCACCTTGGTCCTGTCAGGACTTGGTTTGAGACCTTGTTAAGGCTGATCCAAGTCAGCTTTACTCTTACTCCTAAGGCATGGCTCTTACCTGTAGGATATGGCCCTTTTGGGTTCTTAATTGAAAGCTTGGTTGTTACTAAGGCTCCTTGACCTTTTGGAGGTTGACCTCTGGCATTTCTCCCCAGCACTGTGTGTCTGATCAGATTTCAGCTCAGTTCTTGAATCTTCCAGCTGCTGTTTTTTGCTGATCTCTTGGAGTCTCATCCTCTGCATGCACAGCTTAGAAGATGGCCAGTGACCTGAGGAGTATTCGTAGGCAGTTTTTAGGTTGTTTTTTTTTGTTTACAATTCCCTCATCTCTGGGATTTTGCCTCTCAAGTCCCAGCTAATCTGGTAGCCCTCTGTCTCTTCAGCTTATTCAAATAGCCGTTTTCTGGTTGGGCTCAGTTCTCCCATGCTGGCATTTGGAAAACGTGCTTAGTAAAAGAACCATAGCTTTTAACCCCTCAAGTTCTGCTTGTGTTGGTTATTCTCCAGTGCCTTCAAACAGTTTTTTAAATAAACGTTATCTAGCTTTTTTATGTAGCTGTTTTCTATGGGAAGGTTACTCTGGTACAAGCTGCTCTATCATGGCAGGCTTCAGAAGTGCTGCATCTAGGTTTTTGTTTTTATAAGCATTATTTGATAAACTTTAAATAATTTTTTTCTCTCTTTTTTCTTTTTCCTTCAGATTTTCCTACCTCTTAGGAGTTATGTAACGGCCTAAATATGCAGGGCATTTTTCACAACTGACCTATATCATAAGATATGTCTAGCAAAGTAAAAATCTTTTGGTTGAATATTCTAGTATAACATATACTACAAACTTGTTACTTATGTTTGAACCGAAGCATGAATCATAAAATTAGAATTCTTTCTTTTAACTTAGTCAGTAAAAACTTAACCGATGATATGTTAAGTATGTAAGTTCCTGGAAGTGTTGTTTTCTAACCTATTAACTGTTTGTGTGTGAAATATATACTCTAACATTATGGATGTTTGCAGGTCTCGACACAGGCGATTTTCTTACAGCCAGTCTAAATCTCGCTCCAAATCACTACCAAGGCGTTCTACCTCAGCAAGGCAGTCAAGAACTCCAAGAAGGAATTCTGGTTCTAGAGGACGATCAAGGTCAAAGTCCTTACAAAAAAGGTCCAAGTCCATAGGAAAATCACAATCAAGTTCACCTCAAAAGCAGACTAGCTCAGGAACAAAATCAAGATCACATGGAAGACATTCTGACTCCATAGCAAGATCCCCATGTAAATCTCCCAAAGGGTATACCAATTCTGAAACTAAAGCACAGACAGCAAAACATTCTCACTTTCGATCACATTCAAGATCTCGGAGTTATCGTCATAAAAACAGTTGGTGAACAGAACAAAAGAGCGCTACATAGTCTTTCATATAAGTTATTAAACCTCTCATTATGTTAAATAAAAATTCTTCAAGGCTTACAGAAAATGTGAGTTGATATTAGTTACTTTGGGCATGTGCAAGAAATAAAATCTCTCTAGCTTTGGATCAATAAAGATTTGGTCTCAGTTTAAGGGCCCACACCACAAATTATGATGTGTCTAATGTCACCATTTTATGGACCATTTTTTGTTTACATTGTGGCAGAAGGGTACTTTTCAAAGGAAATGGGTAAAATGGAACTAATTTAGAAAATTCTATTTGGATATTAAGTATTAGGAAACTTAATAATACCTTTTACAAAAATATTTTTTACTTTAAAGCACTTTACTTTCATGTAAAAAGTAATTATGACTGTATAATTGCATAGGGCAGGCTTAAACTATTTGACACCTTGTGTCTCTTTTTTTGTCTTCTGTTTAAACACGGGCCAATTCATAGTGGATATTAATTCATATTGCAAAATTATGACATTCCTAAAAGTAGAATTTATATAGAGATCAGGCATTCAAAAGATACATTCTTTGCTGAGCTCAAAAAATGTTTTATTTTTATTAGTGGAATGGTATAGATAAGTTGACATCAAATTGCGTCCTGTACCATGTTCATTCACTTCAGAGTATCCAAAACGTTTTAGAAATACTGAATTTTGGGCCAGCCCCAATGGCCTAGTGGTTAACTTTGGCATGGCCTGGGTTTGGTTCCCCGCCACGGACCTGTACCACTCGTCTGTCAGTGGCCATGCTGTGGTGGCAGCTCACATACAAAAAGAGGAAGATTGGCAGTGGAGGTTAGCTCAGGGCGAATCTTCCTCAGCAAAAAAGAAGAAGAATTTTGAATTGTTTGAGAATACTTCTCTAAAAAATGTGTGCAACACTCACAATCCAAAAATATTCATATTAAGCCTTACACATTTGAAGAGTGTACATTTTGTATAAAAATCATATTTTATACCATTATTTCTACATACTTACCTTTCATCTACTGCTTAATTTTTTCTTTTTAGAGTTCTAGCTCAAGACTTTAAATTGTATAGAGTAAGTCTTACTTTTTGAAAGAGTGTTTAGTACCTTGTATTAAGAAACTCAAGACTACATCCTCAACAAACAACTTTGCAGTATTCAGATTTACATTACACTGCCCTTCATTTTTTTAAACCAAATAGCTTTATTGATATTTATTGCTTTTGTAGTTGTTATAACTGAATTAAAAATGTGTTTGTAGTTTATGTTTTCAGAGGGTTTTGGTAGTATTTGTGATAAAATGGTTTTGCATATGATTATTATAGGGGATATGTTTGTAGAGCTCTACTTGTGTATCTTGTTGAATTATACTGAAAATGAGAAGTTCTCAGCCCATACAGTTAATATTTGTATCTAGAGTGCTTAAGAAAAAGATCTGTCTTATATGTTTAGCTTATAGGAGCCAGTGTTGCTTCTATTTGTTTTGAATACAAATTCCATTTTTCCTTGCATTTTAGATCCTACGTATAAGAAACAACTTTACAGAATAATTTATATGCTGGTAATAATTGGACAAGAACCGTAATTTCATGTATACTGTACTTTCTGAATCAACTTTTCTCTAATCATAGCAAAATTTATTTCAAAATTACAACTCTTTGAACTGTTCAGCTGTAATAAAATTTAGTTATAAAGTTATGTGGCACTATTGAAAATTTAAAGGATAGTCCAAAGGAAGCAAGACAAACGTTAATTATAATTTTTAATATTTTCTGAATAAATGTTTGGGTTCACACACACATATATGCAGTCATTCCAGATACTAACTAGGAATTGAGTATAGTGTCTTTACTCTACATTTAATCCTCATATCTTAGAAAAAGTTACTAAGGTTTCTGAACATGCTTATTCCTTTGATTTACCTCTGATTTGGTTTTCCATTGTAATCTCCAGGCTGCTTAGGATACCTAATGGGTTGGATGGAAAAACTGGAATGATAATAGTTCAAACTCATTTGAGCATTTACTGTGTGCTTGGCACTCCTCTCTGAGTTTTACATTTTTTCACTCATCTGTTTATTCCTGACAACTTTGTGAGGTAAATACTGCTGTAGATGAGATGCAGAGAGATTAAGTGACATGCACAAGGTCACACAGCCATTAGACTTTGGAACTGGAGGGTGGCTGGGCTCCAGACAGCCTCTGCTTGACTCCTCTGCTCTTTTTGGAAGAGAAAAGTCTGACAGATAAATGCTAAACTAAAGTAATGCTTAGAGGGAAAGGAGAGAACAGAATTAGGAAAAGAAATTATTATAGGCTTCAATGAAAATGGGTTCAGTGTGTGAGTGGAAATTGGCAGTTGGGCTGGTACCCTGGAAAATTGTCTCCTGGGTATCTCTCTATTCTAGGGTTCACTTTTGTTATAGAATTGTTTCTTGGACCATTTAAGAGAGGATACTTAGGGTAAGGTGGTTGGTTAATAAAGCAAGTGTTTTAGCTCTCTCTCATCATTTCCTTTAAAGATAATGTATTTACTCAGGTACTTCCCAAGTTTAGTGTTAGGGGTGTTACCTCTCTTTATTCAGGATCATAGATGCTAAGTTAATGTCAGAGGAAATAAAGATGGCCACTACAACTGCTTGTTTTCTTTTTACTCATGAATAATACACAAATAACTTCTGTACAGCAGCTGATGTTTTGCAGGGGCAAACAGATAATGAGGGGATACACTAAGTGTTTTGTTTGGAGCCTAGGATTTAGTGTTGTGCCACTGGGCTCATTTATTTTTAAATATAAATTGTTAACTAATTTCAAGACTTTATATATTACTTGTAGTGTTTGAGATACAGCTATTCTAAGCATTACAAATAATTTCTGCCTTTAATCCCATTGCAAGAGACAAAATTCATCAGAGTGTAAAGAAAGTATTTAGAAATGCTTTTTTAATTTTTCTAAACTATATTAAAAGTTGTAATTTATTATTTAGAGTTAAAATGAAATTGGCTTTCCAAACAGGGTGGCAGAATATTTGAGGTACTTGTACAGATAAATATATGCTACTTATGCAGCATGGTCTCCTGCAGAGGATCTTGGCATCACAGAACCAAAGACTCAGGTTTAGGCCTTGTAGATTTTCAGATAAGTTCATGACTCCCAAGAGTTTAAGGACCCGTGGTTCAGTGAGACACATGGGTTTTGGAGTCAGAACATATATATTTGATTAGAAAACATTTTCAAGTATTAAATGAGGATTATGCACCCTAGCATCTGAATCACTCCCTTGATGAAAATAGGGTATTTAGGATCAGAGCATTAACTCTGGCATTGGTCTGCTAGGTTGATTTAAGCCCTCTGGAAAATTTATATCTTGAACACCTTTAAAAAGATGTTCACAGGGGCTGCCCAGTGGTGTAGTGGTTAAGTTTGTTTGCTCTGTTTTGGCACCTGGGGTTCGCTGGTTCAAATCTTGGGTGTGGACCTACACACCACTCCTCAAGCTGTGCTGTGGCGGCATCCCACATACAAAATGGAGGAAGACTGGCAACAGATGTCTCCTTACCGCCCCCCCCCCCCGCCCCCAGTTAATAAAATTAAGTGTAAAGAAAGTCAAAACCCTTTTTAGAAATACAGTATTCCCTGATGTAAGTGCTAGATATTCCAGGTTGACTCAACTTCTCTCAGGTTAAAACAGTACTTTACAGTAATGACAAGTATTTATTTAAAGAAATCATGTGAAGAAAGATTTAATAAAAAATGTACATAGACCATTGTACCCCATCAGCAATATTGTCCCAAAAAATGGTATAATATTTTTATTCTCTTTTGGGGAAATGATTATATGATTAGTCTTTCTTGAATCCTTTATTCTAGGAGTATACCACAACTCTGAACTTACGAAAAGAACTAGTATCAACTTGTAGAGATAGATGGATGCCCACTGGGTTGATGGTTCCCATTTTTTAAAAGTACTATGTGATTTTAAGTATATATATGGTTCACATAATTCAAAACACCAACTTCTGTTTATAAGCTAGAAAATAGATTACAAACTAAAATCAATATCTTGCTGTATGCCAGTTTCCGGTTCTTTCAGAATGCTGCTAGAAAATTTAAAGGGTCAGTCTCTTCAGATGAGAGAATCCCCAGGCAGAAATCAGTCCTCAGTCCTAGAAATGGATTGAGTGCATGTTCCTTATTGTTTGATCTTATGTGTGTTACAGCTTGTGTAGGATGAGTAGTTCCTCAGAAAAAGTGTCATTGAAACCAGAAGCAAAATTCCTGCTTCTCCAATTTAGGAGTATAATTCTATTAACTAAATGCCCAAGTACTGTATGCTTTTTAGAAATGTCTTCATGGAGGTAAATTGAGGAAGACCAGAATTCTTTGCTGTGACCACCTGTTTTCCAAGGAAATAACCACATTCTAGTTTTCTTAGCTTACTCCTAATAGTACTGACTTAAAATACTGTTAAATTGACTTTAATTTCAACAAAAATCTCAATATAAAATAGTCTTCAAAGCTGCAAGTGATAACATTTTTTTTTAATAAGAAAAATTTAATTGATTTGTTGGGAGAGGGGATTAAGAACTATTACTATTACATCTGTGAGGCAGTATCTGCTTTGTAGTAATATTTTACAACTTGAAAAAAGTATTCTGTTAAAGACCTTTTCAAAATTGACATAAGCTATATAACTGTTCAGACTCTTCTGGGCGATCTTATATTTTAAAAATGAGAAGGGATTTATTTAAATTTATTTTAACACATTGTGAAATATTTATATAATTTCATAAGACCCTTAGAGAAAAGCATTAACATTCATTATTGTCAGTAAACATTAAAATTTTGGCCTTAAAATGTTAAATGTAGCTGAATTAGAAATACTAATGGTCTAGTTTTGTTTATATTCATTACAGTTTTTAATATATATATAAAAGGTCTAACCATTTTTGGTATTGTTTTATACTTTATAATTCCCTGTTCTTAGCATATAATCTACTAAGTGGGATTGTAAAAAAAATACCACTTGGGGCCATCCCATGGCCTAAAGGTTAATTTCTGTGCACTCTGCTTCAGCAGCTTGGGTTTGTGGCTTCAGATCCCTGGCATGGACCTACACCACTCATCCCCCATGCTGTGGCAGTGACCCACATAGAAAACAGAGGAAAATTGGTACAGATGTTAGCTCAGGACTAATCTTCCTCAGCAAAAAAAATAAATATTAAAAAACGATGGATGAAAAATTTTTATTCTAAAATACCTCATATATGAAAAACACTTTGTGCAGAGCTCTGAGCTGCCTGCCAGCAGTCAAATATAACTAATGTTCTAAGAGGTGTCCTGACCACACTTTGTCCGCCCTTTATCTATTTTGACTCAAAGGTGGTGTTTCATATGAATGAATGGAATGTCATGGAAAGTGAAACTACATGACTTAAGGAATCATTTTAAGTGCTTTTAGCCTTCAGTTAGCTCCACTGGTATTAATTCAGTATGAAAGGCTTTAGAGGGTAGGAGCCAGCTGTTAGGAGTTGCATACTGCCTTACCCTTCTACGTCCTAGTCACCAGTGCTAATGAGCCCCTGAGCATCCCCTTTTGAGACTCTCAGACACATATTTCCTTCACTACTTGAGGTTCAAGTTATTCCACTTGAATTTCTTTAACTTTCTTCTCAAGACATGGGCAGTTATTATAAATACCCTTCAGAACCTTTATAGTCTCCACCTACCTCTTTATTCTCCACTAATTAAAGCTTCTTCAATCATTAACATTTATGTCAACGTTAACATTAAATGTCAGTTGTCACATTTCCCAAACAAGCCAGTGCTTAAATACATTATCCTTTCTCTGATTCAGCTCTTCCAATGGCTTTGGTGTTTCAGTCATTGACTAGAGTTGTATTGTTTTAGAAGTGTTAATAACCAAAAAACCACCCTACTTGAAAGTGCAAGAAAAACATTCAAGAGGTTCAAAGTTTACAAGCTCGAAAGATTAGCTTATTTGTGCTATGTGCCACATGTAAGTGAGCTTTTAGAATTATTGGCAAACACTGAACTTATGTATAATGTTGGAGTGAACTAGTAAAGCAGCCTTAATTTCCCCAATTCTATTAACATTATAGAAATCTTTAGTAAGAAAATAATTTTACAGTGAACATTCATATTCCAACTACCTAGATCCTACAATTAACAGATTATATTTGTTTTATCACATATATTTCCATCTATCTATTCCCCAGTTATTTTGAATTCAACACATAGTAAAATCTTGAAAACTGCAATGTTCATAAATGGGGTATTCTAACTAGCTAAAGACCAATCAGAAAACCTTGGTTGAATCTTTCATAAACATAATTCTGTTGTTTTAATTTTGAAATTCCAGATCTGGTCTCAAGCATCAGATGATTACAGGAACTTAAGAAATAGACATGGGGCCAGCCCAATGGCACAGTGGTTAAGTTCTCATGCTCCACTTCAGCAGCCCAGGGTTTGTGGGTTGGGATCCCGGGTGCAGACATACACACTGCTCATCCAGCTGTGCCCTGGTGGTGTCCCACATACAAAACAGAGGAAGACTGGCACAGATGTTAGCTCAGGGACAATCTTCCTCAAGGAAAAAGAGGAAGATTGGCAACAGATGTTAGCCAAGGGCCAATCTTCCTCACCAAAAAAAGAAAAAAGAAATAGACACGGTTGAGGAGACTGGACTGAATGCACAGTGACTAGGACCCTTGGAAGGCTGATGGAAAAGGGCCATCCAATCTTTGATATTAATCCTTTCATTCTAAAGTTTGAGAGCAGTAAATGCCTAATCATTTGAAGAGTAAGGGTAATTTTGTTCAATTTTGGAAGGGACCTTTGAGAGCCCTTATTTTATAGCAAGAAGATCTCCCAAATTGTAGATCTCTCTAAGGTTTTGATAGGAAGAACCGAAGCCCTCTATGATTCCATGTTGTCACGGAAAGTATACTAACAAAGAGGTTACTGTTTAAAGATCTTGCTGTTAGAAGGCAATTTTGAGTTCAATTTAAATCTAATATTTGCATGTTGAAAATAGTCAAAGATCATCGAAATATCTTCTACCTGCCATCCCCTCTCTAAGATTCTAGACTGCCAAGAACACATTTGTAATTTGGTTTTGCCAACTAATTGAGTTACTCTCTCATCTTAGAATAAAGGGACTATAATGAGTTAGGAATAGCTATATATATATGACACTTTGGAGGAGTTTGACTAGTATCTGTTATCTTTACAACCAGATGTAAAATACCACATATTTTTCTGCCACTTACTTATGTATTGGACTAGGAAAAAGTACTTAACTTTCCTGAATCCTTTCTTACACGTGCGTAAAAGTTATTGTGTGAATGACTAGAGAAATGAAGTATTTTCATCATCGTTTAAGAACGTCATTTCATCTTAAGCTATTTTTATACGTTCAGGATAGGTGATCTCTTCTAATTAAATGGTGCTTGAGTAGAACATGCAGCTCCTTGGAGAAATGTGATCTGATTATCCATGTAGGTTACTTCTGCCAGTTCTCCCGTGTTGTCCCTTTCTCCCATTATACTGAATTCAGCGACTAATGCATGTCATCTGTAATAATCTATTCCTCTAACAGAGGGAACTTCACATTCGTGTGACCAGTTCTCCACTAAGGAAACATTACTGTAAACTCTACTCTAGAAATTAAATTCTAAGATCTCAACAATGAACCCTCAGTAAACGCAACACCTTTTATAAATCTTAAATTGTAATTCAATTTGGGGTTTTTATAATACAAGTTTAAGTTTGGCAAATACAATTCCTGGGTGTTAGGAAGATTACTTACACATTTTAGCATATTTATTTTAGACCTTCAAGAAAGTGGCAAAGGATATGAAAAGTAACGTCATCTGAAAACTGTCAGAGATTAATTCAAGACAATCTAATCCAAGAGATTTAAAGAACAAAGGTTTAGTTCAAGCATAAAATAGATTATCCCTAACTCTTAAAAAAACTCTATCCACCCAATACTTTCAGAGAATCCTATCTAAAACTTTCAAGAAAGTTTCAAAGGTTACATTTTTATATGTATTTATAAATAACATTCTATAAAATGTACTCTCAAGTGTCCTTTCAGATTTAAAAACAAGTAGTTTCTGAATTATACATGATTTGTGCTTGTGCAATTCTGCCTCCTACACCATCTCTTCTCTCAACACAGACATACTCTTTCCCCATTTGAAAACTTGTATTTGGGAGTTTTTGAAAGATTTATGGGTTCAAGAGAGAAAGGAATAAAGTACAAAAAGCAACTTGGAGGAGTTCGCTCAGGGATCACATGCTCAGCAAGGCAGGCCTGTACTTTTATAATGTTCTCAGTTCAGCACTGGCCTTCAAAAGTTTATATACAGGAAGATGATGAGCCTGTCAGCCTTTCATCCCAAAGTATAAGTAAATACTTTGATTCCCTCAACCTGAAGCAGGGATCAACTGCACAGAGGGCACAGGAGTTGGGGGCCTTCCACACTCTAAAAAAAGGATAATCAGCAATTAGGGTCAATAGGAGATGGGAGATGTACAAAAAGAGAAATAGAATTATAAAAGAGCAGTTTTACGTGTTTCAAATCTTGGACTACGAAAAGAGAAGGCAACTTTATTTCTCCTTTTCACCAACTAGGCCCTCGTATCAGAATTCACAACTTAAATTAGAACCATCTGTTAACAGACTTTTACAGGTAGGTAGACAACTGACCACCTTCTAACATTGTTTCAGAGGAAACATGTTCTAATTCAACAACTAACTGACTGTCATAGATGAAGCTGAGAGTACACATGAGTCAGAAAGGATGAGGTCAAGAGTACTGGTAAAGGTGTTAAGTCTTAGGAGGGAAAAAGAGGATGTAGGAAGACAGAGTATTTCAGTACCATTTTCACGTTCTAATTAGTGCTTCTGTGCACAATTACCAAAGCTGGACTTCTAGGCCTGAACTGTCTTCTGTCTACTTGCTGTGTATTCGCACATGGATACCCTACACGCACCTCAAAGTTCAACATGCAAATCAAAATGATCTGTGTAATTCTGATTCCCTTCCAGAGTTCCCTAATTGCTAGTTTTATCTTCCTAATTGCTCAACTTAAAAACTCTTCTTCATTCAGTTGCTCACTTCTTAATCCTACCTCCAAAACATCTCCCAAATAAGTCCATGCCTCTGTAGTCCCTCTGATAATGTTCTTTAGGCTCTTTTCTTTTCTTTTTTTTTTTTTTGAGGAAGATTAGCCCTGAGCTAACATCTGTGCCCATCTTCCTCTCTTTTAAATATGAGATGCCTGCCACAGCACGGCTTGATAAGCGGTGCGTGGTCTGAGCCCAGGATCTGGGCTGGCAACCCCAGGCCGCTGAAGTGGAGTGTTAACTGCTACGCCACCGGGTGGGTCCCTAGGCTCTTTTCTCTTTTAAGCAACTGAAATATCCTCCGTGAGTGGTCTTGTCTCAAGCTTTCCCTTTGCACGCTGTTCTTATTTTCACCAGTTTTCTTTTCGAAGCAGGAGCCTCCTTCCCTTGCTCCTAAACCCTTGATGGCTCTGCCATGCTTATGAGAATCAAGTTGAAACTCCAGCATGACATTCAAGGTCCTTTGTGTTATTACCCCAGTAGAGCTTTCAGTACACTGACTCTTCCTTCCTTTGCACTTCTCTTGAGCTACTGGACATTCTACAACTTTCCACACTACTGTCTGCTCAGACTTTTACCTCTGACAACTTTCCTTTTCTTCGCATGTCAAACATTATTGAATATTTTAAGACCCAACTCAACACTACTTCTCAGGTGTCAGATTCCCAACTAGACAATCCCTACTCACCAAAACTAGTCACTGCCTTCTGGGAGACGACGGCTTCACGTTTTTACCTCTGCAGGCATCTGTGGTGGTCGGAAGGAGAATGCAGCTTGTATTTTACATTTATCATTTCTTCTCCACTCACCTGTACTATTAACCCTCAGCTCTGCCCTTTCTCCTTGTCTTTCCTGAACATACCTCACACAGAAGCCCCCACGCATTAAATTGTAGACATGCTACTCAAAAATGACACAAAAGAACTGAGAAATGTCAAACATAGTGGGGGTGGGAGTGGTTGAGGCAATTTTTTTACCTAAAAGACAGGAACTCTGTATTACTTTCATTGTTAGGATTTTTATAATCATATGCAGAAATGTTATCAAACCCGTGCATGAATGAGCCATTTTTTGGAATCAGACTGTCAGATTTGGGAGAGATGTCAGAACTCATCTAAGCCAACTCAGTATTAATATTTACAACATATTAGAAAAAGCTAAAATTGGTAACTAAAACTTGAGGGAATTTTCGAACTATGATCTGAACTTCTAAAATGCGTCTTCCCAGCTGTCTGTGAAGGTATCTGCATCTATGAGAGCGGGGACAGAGACTTACACAAAACGCCAACAGCAAACAGAAGTTCCTTTACATCCTCACATTCCTTACCTTCCTTTCTGGAACTCAACATTTGTCCTTGTGCTACTTCTTCAAGGCCTTCTTAGTCCCCATACCAGCACACCCCCCCCCCCCCCCCCCCACACACCCTGTTTGTAACTTCAAACCATTTAATAATCGTGGTTCTCTCCCTAGCACTGCTACTGGCAGAACCAGGAACAGGGCAGAGGTGGGTAGCTTTGAGCTGGGGCTAGCCCGAACCCTCCCCCAGACATCTAAATGCTTGTCTTTGATGAGAACATGCTGGGGGGGAGGGCGTCCAAGGAGTCTAGCCTATCCACCACAGTCACAGCTCCTCACAATCCTAATTTCACCATCTTGGGTGGGTGCCAGTTGTGCCCTCCTTTCCAGGTCCATTCTGGGGCCTGGTGCTGAGCGGCAGAAGCACTGGGATGGGGACAAGGTCTTGTTCCTTCTCAGCAGCAAAAGTTGAGTTAAGGCTTTTAAAGAAGGCAGGTAAACACAGAAAGCAACTACTGTGAGGGTTTTTAGGGAGTTTGAAATCACGTACTAGGCAAAAGAAATACAAGTGGTTTTCGCCAAGTGTAGCATGACTTGATCTCATTCTAGTCCTACATGTGGTACAGCTTCATAGTAAAATATTGTGAAGGAAAGGGGTGATTACAGAGTACTGTGCCTAAAAGCCTGATTGCTGGTCCTGATAAAATGTAATTTCTAAGACCCTGTGTGGTCGACTCCGACTCCTACGACCCTGTGTACAGCGGAGCGGAACTCTGCCCAGTCTTTTTCCACCATCCTCTCTCCTTCCAGCGCTGTTATTAGACAGTGCTCTGCTGCTATTCATAGGGTTTTCAAAGCCAATTTTTTCCGAAGTGGGTGGCCAGGTCCTCCTTTCTAGTCTGTAAGCTCCACTGAAACCTGTCCACCCTGGGTGACGCTGCTTTATTTGAAATACCCGTGGCATAGCTTTCAGCATCACAGCAACAAGCAGCTGCCACAGTGTGACAACTGACAGACTGGTGGTGTGGTTTCCTAAAAGGGAAGTGAACCAGTCTTAACCACTAGACCACCAGGCCTGGCTAAAATGTAGATTACTTGCCTATTCCATTCTAGTCTTTTAACTTACAAACCATATAAACCATCCTAAAATTTATACTTTAACTTACAAACCTTTATCTTTAAAAAGAATGGCTCCTATCCATCTTTTATTAGTGTAATTTGGTCTTTTATTACCTTCTTTCTCCTTTATCTGCCCACAAGGACACTAATAAAATACTTAACACCAAGATTAATGCAAATAAAAGCTGGTCCTTCTGAGCGTCACCCCATCACTGGTATGAGTTAAATACACTTGGTATCAAATAGCACAGATCTATCTAAAAGCATCTTCAGCATAAAATACTAACTGCATGTTGGTATCTGTCCTATAATGTACTGCCACTGCATGTAATTTTTTCCATTCACATACTACACTTACAAACCTTTCACCCCTTCGCAATTATGAATCCCCTTTATCAGGCCACTAGTTAAAATTTACGCCTGAAGCTGATCACTGCAAACACAATGTTTGCCTTATATACCCACAAAACCAAACAAATACCATTACAAGAACATTGGGGAAAATGTTTCAAGAGACTCCAACAGGAGAAAAATAAAGTTGGCTGAATAATTGGGCTGCACCGTGGTCTGAATTCCTATGTTAAAACCTAACCCCAAGGTGATGGCATTAGGAGGTGGAGCCTTTGGGAAGTGATTAGGACATGAGGGGAAAACCCTCATGAACGGGATTAGTGTGCCCTCACAACAGGAGTCCAATTAGCTCCCTCGCCCCTTCTGTGCTCTAAGGACACAGCAAAAACACACCACCTATGAACCACGAAGTGGGCTCTCACCAGACACCACACCTGCTGGCGCCTTTATCTTACACTTCCCAACCTCCAGAACTGTGAGCAATGTTCACAAGCAGCCCAAAGAGACCAAGACAGGCTGCCAAATAGTATTTCACTGTAACAACAAAACGACTTGACTTTTAAATTTAATAGCTTTTCACTAAATATATCTGTAGTCTAATTCAACCAATTTTGTTCACTCTTCAAACTATAAATACTACTACTACTTTATATTATTATCTATTTCCTTATGTTATTCCTTTAAAAAATTTAACCACTGTCTTTACCAGTGTGTTAACACTTCTCTTGGAAAGTCTAACTTTTACAAGGCTGAAAGCTTACCTATATTTTATTATGACTTCAGTTTCTCTAAATGCATTTTTTAAAAGCCAGCTACATATATACCTATATGTAATAACAAAGTATAGTTTTCTCTACATACATATAAGAACAAAGCACATGTTATAGCCAGTGTCAAGGAATAATGGTTGGCTGGATCCGTATTGAGCTGCATATACAAGACAGCACATCCATCTATTAGTAATTCTCATTCTGTGGCTAATGCAAGTTAACACACCCTCCTGGCACTATTCAACAAGTCAAGAGTGATTCTAAGCAAGGCTGCGCGCCTTGTGCACCACCCCGCACTCTTGTACAGCCAGAAAGTTACCTCTCTTCCTCCCCTCCTGTGTGAGCCAGATGGTACACGACTCCTCTCCCTTTTTTTTCTCAGAAGGATGGTAGCACCTTTCCCATCTAGTCCACCTTATAGAATCATACATCTACCCTCTTAAGACCCTTTTCCTTTTCACATGTGTAAATATTGCCCAATTACTCAGAAAACTTTCTTCCTTTTTGTTGAGATAAACTTTAGCTTTGCGTAATGTAACTAAAAACCATAAGGAAAATTGCATTTTAGTATTTCTTATTGGAATAGACCACATAAATATACTATTAAATAGAACAAAGTTTGAATTTCAAAGCAAAAATACATAAGCTGTCATATCTAAAATCTCCATCCACTATTTTAACATCAATTACCCTTGCTTTGGTTCAAATACTGCCATTCAGTATCAATATAAATTTAGTAAAACAAGTGTTTTTTTTTTTGCTGAAAACATATGGTATAAGTCAAATGGTACTTTATGAAATGGTCCATATATAAAAATATACTCTAAGCTATAAACTAATGAGCTTTACTTTAGACCATAACCATTTCCATTTGTAAGATAGGGAATTCCTCCCATTAGAGGTAGTAGTGTTAAATTATTGGACCCTCTAAATTTCAGAGGGAAGATGGACGATTAGTAGAAAGCCAAAGACATTTAGCTAGTAAAATGGAGTTAAAATCCATCTCCATGTCACACATTCAAACATGAAAAAGTCACACAAAAAGAGTCAAGACTAGTTTAAAAGGGGGGGGCCAAATTATTATTATTATTTAAAAATTTGATTACAACCAATTTTGTTGGCATTAAAATTAGAGGTATTTTAAATTTGAATAATGGATATAAACCAAAAGCCAGAAATTAAGCTTGGTAAAAATGGGAATAGGAGTTTTCCAGTAATCACAGATTAGAAGGCAGAAATCAATTTAGAGAAACATAGACAAACCCCATGTTTACAATGATTGTGCCACAGATTGAAACTTCAGTAGTGCATCAGTAAACTGTTCACATTTAGATCTTCACCTTGAGATTCAACAGCTGTTTCTTGAAAAAAAAAATCTCAGTACCTTGTGCAAATAAATTGGTCTTCCGTGTGCCTTAGCACACACTTAAAATTTCTCCATTGTATATATACAAAACACCTACCATTTGGGCAGGGCAAAATACATACTTTCATAACAAAACTATAATGTACCTCTCAAGTATGAACAATATACACATAATACATGGTATACAGTATTTACAAAATATAAAATATAATACAAGCTGTTTGTAATTTTTTAAACTCATCTTTTGCACTTGTACGTTGCAACAAGGCAAATTTCCATTTCTGTACCAATTTTCAAGAGTCCAGGGATTTTGGAAAAACTAAGTTTTACAGACATACTGAAATTGAGATCTAAGTTTGCACTTTTAGGAGAGTTTTTAAGTGTACTGCCATCAGCTCCCTATTTTGGTTGGAATTTTCAATCGTGCTCCCCATCCAGTGACTAGGAGGCTTTGGAAGAACACTAGGAGAAGGCGGATCGCTAAACTTTGCCCCAGCATAATTTTCCTTCTGGCTCACTTCAGTGAGAAATGCTGATTTCTTCAAATGCATATTTTTAATGTTCTCAGTATTTTTAAAAGGCTTTTTTTCCTGCTTCTGAATTATATCAGACGAAACAGAATCCTGCCAAAAATTATGTTCATTTCTTTTTGCAGAGGTGATCTTGGTTAGTGGTAAGTTATATTTGCTTTTCTGTCTGTTTATCTTTGGTTGTTCACACAAGTGTATACCATGAACAAGCTGGCCGTGGGGAATGGCAATTTTCTCCGATTTTCCCATCTTTGATTTTAAAACCTACAAAGACAAGGAATATAAAAATGAATACAGTCTCATGATAAAAATCAGTCATGAACCTCATACCACATATCTAATATATTTTCTTTTAGAAAGTTCCCCTGGACTTTAGTGCACTGTCTTGATGAAGTATGTGCTTGCTGCACTTATCACTGGATGTCCAAATAGACACATTTTGTTTACCACTAAAAATCCAGTTCATCACCACTGTTAGCAGTGTGCCATGTACGAGCCAGTTCTAAAATGTCAAAGGAAAAAACCCAAAGTAACCCCAAGTTCATCTTTCTATACCTATAAGAGTAATGAGCTATCTTCCAAACACCTATGCCAACCTCCAAACACTGACAAAGCTCAGTGTTTTTACAGTAAGATGTTGTCAAGAGAAATTTTCAGGGGCTGGCCCCGTGGCCGAGCACTTAAGTTCGCGCGCTCCGCTGCTGGCGGCCCAGGGTTTCGTTGGTTTGAATCCTGGGCGCGGACATGGCACTGCTCATCAAACCACGCTGAGGCGGTGTCCCACATGCCACAACTAGAAGGACCCACAACGAAGAATATACAACTATGTACCGGGGGTCTTTGGGGAGAAAAAGGAAAAAAATAAAATTAAAAAAAAAAGAGAAATTTTCAAATGCTTTTATTCTGGTTGGTTGCATAAAAATAAAAACTATGTTAATAAATACATTATTTGCCTTTTAGACAGATACCTTCAAAATTATTTCAGAATAAATACAAATTCGATTAGCAGGAGCTAGATTTTAAGTAAGCAAATGTTTTGATAATGGTTACTAAGTCTACACAGAAAAACCTATCTCCAAGCTTCTACAAACAAAACTTTTCAGAAACTTATATACTAAAATAAAAATCTAAATACTAAAATACTTATCACTTTTTATCTTTTCCAGTTAGACATACTTACAACAAACACATAATCAGAAAAAAATGGGTCCCGCCTGTCCCCTACTTTCTAGCTTAACAACTGCTTCAAGAGCTTTGCTAACTCAAGCGATCCCCGCAGGCAGCCGGAGGGAAGGAGGTAACCATTCGACCGCTCCCTCGTTCCAACACTAATAAGTAACACGGGAGGAAAGCAGGGCACCAACACACAGCCGGAGCACATTCCATATCCACAAGCCTAACTGCCCAGAGCTCCCTGGTTTTAATGCCCTTCTAGAAAAGGAAGCAATCTTACTTATTGCCCAGGAAGCAAGAAGGACAAAGTTCGCTTTCAGATCCTCATTAATATTTCAGAGCCATGGAATTTTAAAACAAAAGGAATCTAAGAGAAGGAATCACGGCGGACAAAGTGAACTTCTTCCCAGGGCACAGCTCAGTACGCTGCACACACCTCTGCCCAACATCCTTTCAACGAATCGCGGTAACTTATTTTCATTTCACTATTATGAAAACCTCTCTGAAATTAAAAGTCAACAAAATGTTTTATTTTGATATCAAGGTTACTTTAATTTCAAATCATCTCAGCGACTTAATCCCGTTTGTTTTAATTAATGTTATGAGAGTCCATCAGCATGGCAAGCGGGCAGCATAAGCTCGATTCAGCTGATAACTTTTCTTTCGAGAACTTCATCACTCTGGACAGCACTGAGGAAACTGCCTTCCACTCCGAAAGCGCGGCGGAGTACCCAGCGCGGGCTGTCCGGACAAGGAAGTCCGTCCCTCTCCCAGACGAGCACACAAAACCTACGGCTCCAGAGAGGCACGAAGGCGGCCGCCGCCCCCGCCAACTTTCAAAGCGGAAAGTACGGCCAAGCAGGGCGCCCGGCGAGGGGCAGCGCCCAGCGGGACAGGCGGGCGCCCGGGGGGCCTCACGCCTCGGCGGGGAGCAAACCAACCGGAAGCGAACCGCCCCGGCCCACTGCGCACCCACGGGAGAGCGGGGAGCCCCTAACCGCCCGGGAGCCGCGACGGCCCCCAGCCGGCCTCGCCTCCTTCATGGGCGCCGGAGCGCTCCGCACGTAGCGCGCTGACGTCAGCCTCCCGCGGGCCCCGGCCCTCCCCCAGCCCACCGCGCGCCCGGAACGCCGAAACCCCCTGGAACGCCGCCAGCTTTCTAAATCGGGGCTGTTGCTGGGGCGCAGCGGCGTCTCTCATTGGCTGTTTCCTGGGAGCCAATCAGCGGCGCCAGCGCATGCCTCCCCTCCCCCCCTTCCCCCAGCAAGAACAGAGCGGGCGTCACGGAAACTTCCCTCCCGAGTAAACAGCGGCCCCTCGCCCCGGCCCCTCAAGGCTGGGCCCCGACCTCAGAGCCCGCGGCGCCGTCCCACGCCGGACCTCTCCGACCGCCCCAGGCCCCCTCGAGCCCTTACCTCTCTTCTGAAAGAGGGCTGGCCGGGCGCGGCGGCCGGCAGCGGGCCGGCGAAGGGGCTCGCTTCCTCAGGGGGGTTTGCGGTCGCCGGGCCCGAGGCGGCGGCCTGCTCCGGGACCTCCTGCGCTGCGCTCTGGCCCGTCGCGGGGCTCCGCCCGCCCTCCAGGCTCGGCCGGTGCTGCTGGTACTGGTGGAAGCGGCTGGGCAGCTGCCCCGCCGGGCTGGCCCGCACCTTCTTCTTGCGCCGCTTCTTTGGCGCTGCCCGTGGGGGACCCCCAGCCGCGGCGAGGCTGCAGTTGGGCAGCGGTGCTGGGGCGCGAGGCTGAGGGGTCAGACAGGGACCGTCGCCCCCTAGGAAGTGAGGGAGGAAGAGGGTGGGGGGCAGTGCCCGGGGATCCGGGATCCGGGGTAGAGCCGGCGGAGCCGTGGTCACCATCGGAAGAGCCCCGAAGTAACCGCGGGCGGAAAAGCCCAGGGGCGCAAGGCGGCCGCCCAGGACAAGCGGCTCCCGCTGCGGGACGGAAACGACGGTCATAGCGCCAGGAGGAAAGTGGCCCAGCAGGAAGAGAAGGAGGAAGTGAAGCCGGAGAGCACAGGGCGGCGGCGGCTGCTGCTAAGAGAGCCCGAGAGGAACGCGGACCATGGCTCGGGCGGTGGCGGCGCAGCAACAAATAGCCTCAGCCCCCGCTCCGAGTGTTGTTATCAGAAGCTCCGCCCTGCGCCCGCCCACCTCCCTGCGAAAGCCCAATCGGCCTGCGGCGCAGCAGGCCACGCCCCGCCGGCTCCGCCTCCACCGCCTCCGAGAGAGACACACAAACAAGTAGCTTGCTGCAGCCGGGCACAAAGAGCGCGCACTGCGCAGGCGCTGCCAACGGGCTCTTTCGGGAAGAGTCGGTCCCGCGAACAATGAAGTTCCGTTTCTGCCCGCCTCCCCCACCCCTCGCCTTCCTCGCCCCAGCACCTCGCCCTGAAGGTAGTGGTCAGACTGGTAGATCTAGGCTGAACTTGGGAGTGGAGGTGGGGTGCGGGATGGAGAAAGAATCAGGAAGCATCAAGGCCACTGATGCCTCCTCGGCCACTGACCTTGGGGAAGTATCTGTTTTATCTCAAGCCCAACATTATTAATCATTGGGCTTTTTTGAGATTTCGAAGTACGTTATAGGGATTTCACTCCTAGCTGTCTTGAAGAAAAGCAGTCCACGTTTAAATTATATTTGATGAAGTGTGGCTCACATTTTTATCATGTACTCAGGTCAGCGCTGCTCATTAGCCGTGGTAATCAGAGGAAGAATGGAATGACTTATTGATTGAAATTGGCCCTTTAATACACAAAAAGTTCTCCATAAACCTGTGACTGGGCATTGGAAGTGCTACAGCTTTCATACTTGAAGGACTGTGAGACTTTGGGATCGCAAAACGGTGTCTGATAACTAAGGAGGAAGCAGAGGAGGAGACTCGAAGGGAGAAAGTGAAACAGCTCTGCAACATACGGAGTATTTTGCTAGCTGTGTGTTGATAGAAATCTCACTCTTGTCATCTCCCTACACTGTGCTCACACATGAAAAGAACTGTGGCTGTTTATCAAGCACTTACCTGCCAGGAACTGTTCTTTATATAAATTGTCTCATTTGAACCTCACAACAACCCTAAGGACTAGGTACTGTATTTTATCCCCATTTTAGGGAAAGGAAACAGGCTTAGAGAGTCAAAAAAGTACTTCTTAAACATCGTACAGTAAGTTAATAGCAGAATTTGAACTCTACTCCAGGTCTGGCAAGACCGAAGTTTTACCATCATCCAGAATACTAGCTGCCACACTAAATGGTAGGTTTTTAGAAATTTCTGTATCCTCACAGCTTCTAACCAATCCTTTTCAGCTCTGTAGTACTTGATAAGTGTTTTATGCTTGCTAACAAAGTTGAACAGAGGGATTATCCAGAATAATGCTTCCCAATAACTTTACATAAACTTTTAATACTACATTCCATCATTATTGATGTCTGAATTTTATCATTTTTGCTGGATTTTACTCATTTTTTTTTTAAAGATTTTATTTTTTTACTCCCCAAAGCACCCTGGTACATAGTTGTATATTCTTTATTGTGGGTCCTTCTAGTTGTGGCATGCGGGATGCCGCCTCAGCGTGGCTTGATGAGCAGTGCCATGTCCGCGCCCGGGATTCAAACCAACGAAACACTGGGCCGCCTGCAGCGGAGCGCATGAACTTAACCACTCGGCCACGGGGCCAGCCCCTGGATTTTACTCATTTTTGTGTTTCCAACACAATACATAGTAGGTGTTCATGATCATTGCATGAATGGGACTCATATACTTCCAGAGCTGTAAGAGATCTTAGCCTTTAATTTAAATCCTCAGGTCAGCAAATGATGCCGAGTTTAAGATCCGTTGAGGAGAACGGCCTGGCGAGAATTGCAGAAGAGCAGGCAAAGATTATGGAACCTCTGGAATGAGGTGATTTATTCTTTTCTTTTTGTAAGAGTTTCTGCTTTTTCAAAGCACTTCTTTGTTATCTCATTATTACTGTAATCCTTTAAAATAGATAGAGATAGGTTCTATTTACATATCATGTAAATAAAGCCTCTAAAGATAAAGTAACTTGCCTGAGGGTCACACCGTGAGTCCCGCACTAAACCACTTGAACTCCTAATGCCTAGTCCGGTGCTCTTTTCACCATATCCCAAGGCCTAAAGTTTGACTTTATCTGGGGGTAATATCACACCGTCCTGGGGAATGATTTACCCTCCCGGGGCTGCTGCGCTGCTCGTTGGTAGTTCAGTGGGGCCTTTGATGAAGGACACCTATTACTGTGTGTGTTTCTCTCTTGGGTGAATGTTGGAGTTACTGTGTGATATGTGGCTTATCCTTTGAGGCCTGAAGAGTAGGCCTCATGTTAGACCCTGGATTCTGTACTGTGAGAAAGGTAGCCTTGCAGCTGTGGCCATCTGGGTGATGGGTGCAAAGATGCTGCCCACCACTAAGAGACTGGGAGCTGAAAGGGACCACCAGAAGAGAACTATCCAGGTTTTATACACCAGATCACTGGATTTCATGTTACTCTCTGTGTATACTTCCTACAGAGCCTTAGTGTTTAGTAAAATCTAATTGTAATACTCAAACCCGGTTTCATCTGTGCTATATGATATAAAGGAAAAGGTCAGATGCTCTTGTCCGGGCCCAAAGGGCCAATCATGGACGTAGCAGGACATTCCAAGGGTAAATCTTGGGAGGACTCTCAGGGTTCTTGAAGGCTTTTCTTCCAGCACATGTCTTGGTTTTATTTTTTGTTAAGTCAACAGTTTCTTTAGAGGAGGTTTGTTTTTTTTTTTTTCAAAATAAACAGTTGAAAAGTAAGCCAGGTATTAAAGAGCAGAGAAAAGAAGTGAAGGCCCTGGGTGAAATAAGCGGTTTACCTGCATTAACACTCCAGAGCCCTCCAGATTCCTCTACTCCTCTCCTTTCTCTCCCTGTCTTACCTTGAATATCACCTTTCTCTCCTCCTGCTCTGAACGTCTTTCTTCCACCCTCACTATGACTTTATTTCCATTTCCTCTACCTATTGTCACTTAGATCTTACATGTCTAAGCTCTCAGGGACACCTGTGTGAAAAGAGGAACACTTACTCCAATATATATTTTGCTTAATGCTCAAATTATTAATCTGTCAAATCTGTGAAATAATATTCCTCTAAATGTTGAACACAACCAGGAAATCAAAATGTTTAAACTTAACAAATAAAAATTTCCCTGGCATTTAAGCACTGATCACAAACTTTATCAACAAATTCTGAAAAGTTTAATTAAAATTGTAAGGTTTGTATTTAAAAGCAAGCAAAATATGCACGAATTTTCACAGTAATGACAAAAATTTATTCTGATACTTTAATTGCTTCTGAAGTGTTATTACCATAGGTTGAAATTAATGTCTTCGTTACCCCTATACTTATACCTTTCTGGGGTTGCAATAATTTTACTGTATGGTTATTTCTTAAACCTTCCTAAGGGGACAGCAGGCCTGTGGGGGTTGTGCTTTGCATAGGGTGCCTGGCCGAAGGGGAGAGCAGAGTTGAAATACAGCTCTGCCTCACCCCTTAAAGCCATCTACCCAGGGGCTTGGGGCCACCTGGAGGAAGGGATGTCTTTTCTCATTGGTACAAAGGTGTCAAAAGGACTAGTGGCTGTCATGGGGTACAATAATATTATGGATATTTGATTCTATTTCATCTGAGATATAAAACTAAAAGAAAAAGCATGTTATTTAGACCAGCTGAGGTTTCAACCATTTGAATCTCAGTTGGGTCACAGGCCTGGTTGTGCCTTCTGGCTTGCTCTCCTATTACACATTGATAAAATTTTTTAATTCCTTGCTGTTCACAGAATGCAACCTAATGCCTCTCCTGAAATGGTGTATTTTTGAACTTTCCTTTGGCCACCTTACATCTTATCATTATATGTTGACCTAGACTGTTCATTTTTACAAACCAATTTTGTTTCATTCATTTGTTATAATTAATAGGGCCGTTGTAAGGTTTCATCTTTCATGAGACAAGATCAAGTCTACATAATTAGCTATCTTCTTCAGGACATTTGGCAAATCATCATCTTGAAACACACTATTGAATTAATTCTCTTTCTACTTTGTCATTTTGCGACCCCAGTGCTGACTAAATGCTGGGTCTCCTTTCCTCCTGGTCATTGTGTGTGACAAATGTTGTGGAGCACTGCTTTCTGTTCTTGGTATGGTTAATATTTTTTTCCAGGACTGCTTGGCTGATTCCCAATTCCCTCTGTTCATCCCTCCCTACTTTCACAATTAGCAAAAAGGCAAGTCTGTGCTTTATAAACTAATATATGCTTTAGATTTGTTTTTAGAAACCCATATATATCTCTCTGTATTTATTCAACTTTTAAAAAATTAACATATCTATGTTATCACATTCACTACCTTTTATAGCCAAACTGCCTTTTACAATTGTAAACTTTTTCCTTTGGAGAAGCATTATGAACTTTCATAGATTAACATAGTTTCAATTATCTATGATTATCTTCCCTTTTTGCTCAGTTCTTTAGAGCTTGCCCAGTGAAAGGCCTTTTAAGATGATTCTGTTGTCTCTTCAGCACTTCTCCCGTTTTTTAAAACATTCCTAATTTTATATACATAAGATGTTTCAGATTATCTTCGGCTTTCTCTGACCCAAAACATGGAGTGAGCTATTTTATAAGGAACCGTACTTCCTTTAAATGAAGAAAAATATTAATGGCACAATCTGGGCATCAGGGATGAATATCAGATTGTTCCCCATGAGTACAGATTGGGATTAGGAAAACATCACTGCTAGGTTAATTTTTGGGGAAAATTGGAAGACATCTCTTTTTAAAATTATGAGTCTACATTGATTTTTTAAATTCTAATTTAATTCTAATACTACGAAGACATTTGAAACATTTATTCCATTGTAAAAAGAATTTTTAGTTTTCTTCCCAACATAATCGTAAATTTTCAAACCCTCCCCCACAATGCACTTGTGCTCACGTGTAATCTTTCTATGTCTCATCACTCATCATTTCTGTAATCATGTCACTAAGCTTAATGTCTTACCTTCCACTTTGTCTCTCATGTCTTTCTCCCCTTTTTATCTTTTAATTTTTTTCTACTGTTCTCATCATCATCCTTATTTCATCTCCCCTTCCTTAAATATTCAGAGCATGGAATTGAAGCATAATTCCTTCTCCAGAGTGTTTTGTAACTCTGGAGAGTGACTGTTTTTCTCATAATTTAAGTTCTTTGTAAAACTTGGGACATCCAGGTCCATCCCTACTTGCAACTACTCAAGATCAAATCATCAAAAACTTAATGCCATTTTTGTATGTGTGACAGACTGCGCCCTGTAGAATATTGGCACATTTTGATTGACTCATTGATGTACTTTTACTCAAGTAATTAGTGTTATTAATAAGTATTCCAGAACAATTTTCTACATCAAAACAAATAGAAAAGGGCAGGGGACCACAGAAGAAAAGCAGTTGGGACAAGCATTTTACAATGGCAAAGTTTTGAGTAAAATTACCTCTTTGGAAAAAAAAGCAAGAAAGAGCATTGTGTACATTGTTAGGTTTTTTTTCTTTGCAAGGATTCGCTCAGATTACCTAAAGGAATGGGATTTTTTTAAGGATATATACACATACACATAAGGAAGGCAAGAAGATTGACCCTACACCAGGCCTCCTAAGATCCCAGGAAAAGCTTCCTACCCAGAACTCATGGGAGGAACAGGAATTACAGTATAGTGCCTAATAGACCTGGAATGAAGTTTGGAAACTCAAAATTTATTCAGGATCCAGTGCAATCCTAGTTACCAGGTTGTTTTGTCACTCCTTAGCAGAAGATGTTTGTTGATCCTTACTCTGGCATTCCCATGATTCAACCACTCTTTCTGCTTGTGCTTTTTGTGTATTTCCACTTCCACTATCACTACCATTACCTCACTGTTTATTTAAAGTTCAAATTCCAGAGAGAGAGGAACTGATTGGTCTAGTGTGGGTTGGTCCAGACTGGATGATTGGTTGATTCATCGCCATCATCCTGGTTCAACAGAACTTTCTTTTTTTTGGTGAGGAAGACTGGCCCTGAGCTAACATCCATGCCAGTCTTCCTCTATTTTGCATATGGAATGCCACCACAGCATGGCTTGGTGAGTGGAGTATAGGTCCGCACCCAGGATCTGAACTTGTGAACCCCAGGCCACCAAAGCGGAACATGTGAACTTAACAATGACGCCACTGGACCAGCCCCAAACAGATTTGGTTTTTTGGGTTTTGGGGGGGTTTTTTGCTGAGGAAGATTTGCCCTGAGCTAACATCTGTTGCCAATCTTCCTCTTTTCATATGTGAGCCACCACCAGAGCATGGCCACTAAGAGACAAGTGGCGTATGTCCATGCCCAGGAACCAAACCAAAGTCGCCGAAGCAGAGTGCAACAAATTTAACCACTAGGCCACCAGAGCTGGTCTTCTCTCTCTTTTTTTTTTAATTGAGGTCATATTGGCTTATAACATTGTATAAATTTCAGGTGTACATTATTATATTTCAGTTTCTGTATAGGCTGCATCGTGTTCACCACCAATAGTCTAGTTTTTATCCATCACCATACATATGTGCCCCTTTATCCCTTTCACCCTTTGTCTACCCCCTTCTCTGGTAGCCATCAATCTGTTCTTCTTATCTGTGTGTTTATCTCCCACATATGAGTGAAATCATATGGTATTTGTCTTTCTCTGTCTGACTTATTTCACTTAACATACTACCTTCAAGGTCCATCCATGTTTTTGCAAAGGGAGTGATCTTATCTTTTTTTTTTTTCCCCTAAAGTCTCAGTACATAGTTGTATATCCTAGTTGTAAGTCCTTCTAGTTCCTCTATGGGATGCTGCCACAGCATGGCTTGATGAGTGGTGTC